CCACAGATGCATCTCGAGCAGGTCCAAGGAGGTGATCCTCCCCCTCTATGCGGCACTGGTCAGGCCGCAGCTGGAGTACTGCGTCCAGTTCTGGGCGCCGCACTTTAAGAGGGATGTGGACAGCATGGAGAGGGTCCAGAGGAGGGCCACTCGTATGATCAAGGGACAGCAGGGTAGGTCCTATGAGGAAAGGTTGCAGGACCTGAACCTGTTCATCCTTCAAAAGAGAAGGCTGAGGGGGATCTTGTGGCCTGTTATAAACTGGTTAGGAGGGATCAGCAGGCGCTGGAGGAGTCCCTGTTCCCCCGAGTGCCGCAAGGAGTGACCAGGAACAACGGTCACAAGCTGGCGGAGAGAAGGTTTAAGTTGGACATCAGGAGGCGCTACTTCACGGTCAGGGTGGCTAGGGTCTGGAACCAGCTTCCAAGTGAGGTGGTGCAGGTTCCCACCCTGGGGGTTTTTAAGAGGAGGTTGGATGACCACCTTACTGGGGTCGTTTGACCCCAGTACTCTTTCCTGCCATGGCAGGGGGTCGGACTAGATGATCTGCTCAGGTCCCTTCCGACCCTAGAAACTATGCAACTATGAAACTGTTTGGGGAATTCCAGCTACCTTAACAAGAGTTAATTTGTGGTCTCCCAATAGCCTCTCTCTAAATGTTTTGCCACAGATCTCATTCATAGTCTGATTTGTTGTCAGAGACTGTTAGCACACTAAGATTTCCAGATTGGCTCTTCAGTCTTAAATCAGTCACAAACTCTTCATATAGTTTCCCTTTGTTCCCTCAGGTGGCCTGTACCTTCATCTATACCTAGTATCAGATGTTCATTTGTTTCAGCTCTGGATAAGGTCCAGAACACCCCAACATTTTGAAAAATGCAGTTTCACAGGCAGCCTTTTCTGTCCAAGTTAACTGAAAAGTGACATATATAGCAACTGCACGATAGCTTGCTACTTGAGGTGCACTGATATATCGGTGCCATATCGGATCAGCACTGATAAAAGGAAAATTAACATTATCAGCTTGGTTTGGCCAGTGTAGCTAATAATGTCACTGATAAATACAATATGCCTTCCGGCCAGGGCTCCCAGATGCCACGTGCACAGCTGCACACATGCATGTAGCCAGGCAGCGTGGAGAACAGTGCCCTGCAGGTAAGTCTATGTAGGGGAAGGGACATAGGAGGGGTGGAGGTTCAGATCGAGATCCCCACAGTGAAAGATGGAGTGGGGCAGGGGCTCTGCCCAGCCAGGGACGTGAATGGGACCTGGGGCTGGGTCAGGGAGCCAGACAGAGCTGTGAGCAGCTTGTCCAGGGGGCATGGAGGGTGGGGGTGACTCCCTGCCACTGCATACACCCCCCAGGAGAAGCCTGGTGGTGACATGGGCCCCCCCATATTTGTGTGTGGGGTAGGCTTGGGGCTCTCCACTCTGCTGCCTTTGCCCTGAGAGTTCTGCATCAGTCATGCATCCTCTGCCCACCTGGCAGCAATGGAGGCAGCAAACTGTGCCTCCCACTGCCTGGCAGGCAGGGGACGTGCAGCCAATGCGAGGCCCCTGGGGCACAGGCAGCAGAATGGAGAGCCCTGTGCCCACAGCAGGCAGCCAGCATTCACCTTTGCCCCACTCAGCTCTGCTCCAGTTAAAAGCGTCCTCACACTTTAAAATGATGGCAGCGGCACTTGAACTAAAGCTCATTTGACAAGCTTTAGTTTAGTGCCCCTGCTGGCATTTTTAAGCACTAGGATGCTGATCCCCTGGACAAGTCACCCATGGCTCCATCCTGCTCCCCACCCCAGGTTCCATTCACCACCCTGGCTGGGCAGTGCCCCCTGTCTCTACCCCTGGTCCCACTCCCTCCCTCACTGTGGGGGCCTCTATCTGCTCCCCTCTACATCCCTTACCTCCCCCACAACCCTTCTCCTCCACACACTTACTTGCAGGGCACTGCTCTCCACACTGCCAGGCTGCATTCCTGTAAATCATTCATCAGATTGGTAGTGGTTGCTATGGGTGGTTAATAATCAGCTATCAGTATCTGTAAGAAAATGTTTATTGGTGCACTCCTACTTACTCCTGCCTGAAATCAGGCTACCTTCTGACTGTCTTCCTTTTTCCTATCATTCCTTGCTTGCAGACAGACATAGAGGGAAGCAGTGTTTAAGTCTCTTCCAGTTGACTTCACTATTTCCAAATACTTTCAGCTCATTTGGTCCTTTTAGTTGCTCCATACATAATTTTTTTTAATTCCTGACAGACTTCCTAAGTTTGGGAAGGTAAACTTATTAAATATACTATTTCTACCCACCTCTCATGTAAACATGTTTCCCTCTAATGCACCCCTTACATTTTCCTTCTAGGTCTTGGTCTATACATACCACTTTCCCATTATTAGTACTATGCAGAGACTGGCATGAACCAACCCACACTTCAGAATGTAGATTTGCCCCATGAAAAACGAGATACTTCCTCATTTCAAAAATATACACTCAAAACCTTGAGGTCCTACAAACAACCTAGGTCATCATCAGGACTTTGACACACAGGAGTGGGGTTCTCAAATTGAATGGTTCAACACTTCAGGTGGTTTGGTGTCTGTTAATATTTTAGACACTCAAGTCTGTTGCTCCCACCATCAGTGCTAAAGTAAAATGCAATAGTGTATGCATCAGAAAAGTCCAACTGCCAGCACCAGAGGAGTCATATACTTATTATGAATATTAATACCCACACTAGAATAAATATTCATATGTAACAATTTCAAGTTTTAAAAGCATAAAAATATTGGAGTGGAAAGAGGAGAACAGTACAGGAGAGAAAACTCATAGAAATTTGCTTTATTGTCATTTCTGCGATTCAAAGCACTGAGATAAGGTGGAAACAGTTCTGCACATCAGAGAACAACTTTGAGGGATTCTGCCATCATGATTTACCCATGTAGAATAGTGAATACACCTCCTATGTTTTGCTTGTTTCACTATATTTTCACCCAGCTGTAAAATTGCAGGAACAATATTTCCTATCACTATACCAGCTCTAAGATGGCCTAGACAGCCAACAATGTAAAATTCCCATGTATGCTGGCTGTTCCTCTGTCATTGTTGCCTCCATTCCCATATCATATTGAGATGACAATATCTACAATATGTAGTGTGCAGCCATGCTTCATTCCAGAGGAACAGATAAGCATGAACCTTTCTTTAACCATGTCACTGCTTCCAATATCTCAACTGCTTAAAGTGCATGTGCTTAAGTTTTGAGGGACTGGGAGCTAAAGTACTGAATGCAGTTAGCCAGTGATACTGACAGCAAGTCAAGTTAAAAGTCCGATAAAGAACAGAAGAACACAAAAAACACATCCCTGGGGTCTGATACACACCATGTCACTCCTCTTCTGGGAAAGAAACATACTTATCTTTGGTTACACACATTTGCTGGGTTTTGCTACCACAGAGCTGTTGGAGGTTCCAACAATAAAATGTCTGCTGGGAATCTCATGGACAGCCAATGCTGGGGGACAATAGCTTCTTACGTACCACTTCAGCACATCTCCTATATACCTGCCTCTGGTGACAATCTTCTAAATCCTCTACGATAAATTTAACCAGGTTTCCCTGATGGAAATCACCCAAAGAATGGTAGGACAGACAACATAGCTTTTTCTCCTTCCCAATAAATCCTGCTTGCTTGCCAAGATGGGGCAGGAATATAATTCACATTTCTCTGCCCCAGCTCTAGTAAATCTGTCCCTTTGAATCTACACAGTTGCTGCCATTAGGTAAGGCACAATGACGTGGTTCTTCTAGCTCCAAAACTCTGAACAGCAGCTCTTCTTGGCCTTTTCAATAGTTTGTTCAGAGCAGTAGTAAAAGCAAGAGCTAGTTCTCAGTACTGACCCTAAGTTCTGCTGCCCAACAGGAGCTATTATTCTTCTGGACAGCAGCCCAGCAATACTGGACAAAGCAGCAGTAGCAGATGTTGTGATCCATGCTCTTCTGAGTCTGGTTTGGCTAATGAGCCAAAGGAACCTACAGAGCATGACAGCATGGGAGCCAAAGTAGTGACTGTGGCCTGTACCTTCATCTTTTTCATCACATTTGAGATTGTACTTTGTCACACGCTGCTGCAGACATGGAAAAAGGTCTTTAAAAATACAAATCAATACTTCCTATTGTTAAGGGAAAAATCTCTGCTATAACTGCAAGGAATATGGCAGTTGCATAAAGCTCACACACAAATTGACTTACAGCAATCATCTGAGCCACGTAGCTTTCAGGACCAGTGTATTCAGTTGGGTCTTTAACTTTGACGAGGACTATAAAATACAAATAATGCCACATATTGTGCTCTGACTTAATGTGCTCCTCAAATGAGACTGTCTTGTTATCAAACTTGTCTCTCTCAAGGCCTGCAAAAGACACAAAACATGATCTGATGAGCCACCCCATCAACAGGTATTTTGTTGCCAATGTAAAAATAAACTTAAAGACATCCTTGATCTGTTAAGGAAGGTTGTTAATTTTAAAAATCTATTTACATACAATAACAACCACACAAAGCCTCCAGACATAAGTGGATTTCTAGAAGAATTCTTCTGACCCAGCATTTACGCTCTTTTATGATATTCTCTCTTCATACCAACAACAATATAATAAATATTATAGTTTTACAATCTTCCATCTGAAGACTATAAAGAGTTTTATGACCTCTGGCTCTGATCCTACAAAAAGGGACTACAGAAACAAGCTGCATAAGTTAGCATGTAGCAGGTAGTCTCGGTCCTGATCTTGAAAAGATTTATGCAGGTGGTTAGTGTTTAAACATATGAGTAGTCCTACTGTCCCATCAGTAGGACAGCTGGTATGCCTTAAGTTAGCCATATAGGTAAATCTCTGCAATGTGTGCTTTAAGTTGCCTTAAGTTAGCCATATAGGTAAATTTCTAAAAGAATCATTGCTCTAGTCACAAAAGAATGCTTTTTTGCAACTAGTCATGAACTAACCTAGAAATACCAATAAGGAAGAACATGGGGGAGGAACATAGTCAGGGAAGACAGGTATGCACTGTCTCATCCCTTTTGCAGCTTTGCTCTCTGACTCTTCTAATGCCTTAAGCAGAGATTAAAGCCACTCCACACTGTATGGACCCCCTGGACAGCTGTAGAAACATCACTGACCCGCAAAAGTTTCCAACCTTCACAGGATCACCTTTTAGAGTGGGAAGAGATATGATTTATACTTGTCTGCCCCAGCAAAGATGAAGCACAATCAGAAATGGGTCTCTACAATGACAACACCTCATCTTCAGTTGTTCTGAGCCCCCCCCGCCCGTCGTCCCCAAGTTTAGAGCCTTAACAAATGCTTAGGTTTGGCTACATTTAAAACTTCAGAGCTCAGGCTGTCATGCAAGAGCGAGCTGTATTTTCATCTGCCTCTGTTCACCAGCAAAGTCAAAAGCTGAGCTCAATCTTCATTTACTGGTAATGATGTGAAAAGTGGGACAAAGGCAGCTTGACTCTCAGATCCCAAGTGGAATTCAGAGCTGCCCTCTTGAAGTCATCTCTTGACTTGTTAACTTTGTTTGCTGCTGAAAAGGAATACGTGTAGAATCAGCCTTTGTTGTCCCTACAGGATTTTTTTCCCAGAGGATAAGTGCTCTTTAAGCTCACCCTTATATTTACTGAGGAATATTTCTTACTAATACTTTTGCCATCCAATGTCTCCAGTTTTGTAACACCTACCGCAGATAAAACAGGTTGTCTTAAGTATTTCCTCTTTTTTCTGTTTTTCACTCCTGAGATCAGCAAATGTATCAATGATGACTCCAAAGATGAGGTTCAGAACAATAATGATGACAATGAAATAAAATAGGAGATCATAGACAACTCGTGCAGCAAACAAGGGTTCCTGAAACATCAACAAAGGTCCAACAGAATATACAAAGAGCACACATATTAAACAAGAACAAACCTTTTCATAACATGAGCTATAGCAGAGGTAAGGAACCTTTTGCCAGTGAAGGCTATCAATTCCAACCTGACACCCCCCACCACCACCCTACACTGTGGGCCACAAAGCTTTGCTCTCTGAAGTGCTAAAGCTACCTATGCTTCCCTCACTGCCACTCCTTGGCCGCAGTGCCAATAGACAAGGACAAATTCTATGTGAGGGTAAGAGTAGCCATAAGACAGCAGCAGGGAGGGCTACAAAGGGGGTGGGTAGTGCAGTGCAGTTGTGGGACTCCAATCCCCTATGCTACCTTGGGTTGGACTGAATCTTCATGGGCTAGATCTGACCTCATTATGGGCCATAGGCTGCCAAACCCTGAGCTAGAGTAAAACAAGGTCCAAATGCCTAGTTCTGTGCTTTGTGCCAAATTCTGTTTGCTTTATATAAGTAGCCTAATCAAAGCCAAGGGATAAATCTTATGACTACCTAATCAGAAACTGGTTTTATATACACCCCCTTTGGGTCTTCTGTATTTTTCTAGTAGTGGCAACATTTCCCATCTTTCCCCTGTCTCATCACAGCTTCACATTTCCATACTGCAGTCATCTTCCTTCTGAGGAAGGTTGGGCAGGTATCTTATCAACACCCCTCTTACATCATGGCTGGCAAGAAACAGCAGCCAATTAAAAAAGCTCAAGTCTAGAAGTCATAAACCATGTGTTCTGTTCCTCACAGTGTCACTGATTTACCAGATGAAATTGAGCAAGTCACAATCTGTCTCAGATGTAAAATGAGGATAATGATACTTTCCTTTATGAAGTGCTTTGAATATAGACTATAATTGCTAAATATAAAGTACCTTTTCTAAAGCTCAAACACGTCAATGGAGTGGCTCCTAATGCCAGTAGACTATGGATCAGGCTCTAAGTTACTATGACTAATACAAATAAAAGCCAAAAAAGGCAAATGCTCTCCTGTAGTTCTTTCAAAATCTTGCTGCCTGGAAAGCATGAGATCATACCTGTGCCTTTTACAGCAGCCTTTACAGTGCAGAGCACAAGCCACTGGGTAGTTGTTTCCTTGTATATATCCACTGACATTTTAATATTATAAAAGCCTAAGTCTGTCTGTCTGTCCATAATGCTTTTTTCACACACTGACTGGATGATGGAAACAGCCAATCACAGTGTTCCAAGTGCAGGGAGTGCCACCATGATTCCAAAGCCATACTGAGGACCAGACAGAGGATGGAGGAATCGAGGCCAGCAGTGCTCCTTGCAAGAGGCAGAACAGCGGCAGCATGGAGCGTTAGGTGGTAGCACTTCATCCCAGCCCCCTCCCCGCCTCCGTCATTCTTGACAGGCAATTGGCTAGTTACAAATATTCTTAAATGTATTGAATTTGTGGTAAACTTTTGGAAAGTCATTGTTACATGTAAAATCCTGTTTTGACTTAAATGTTAGCACAGTATGATTCTTAGATGAGTAAATAATGGGATCCGTTCCAGTGCAGATGCTAGATTATATCTCAGTTAACTCTAAACTTGATGTGTTACAACTGAGAGTCCCAACACATAGTCATCAATCAACTCCTTTCAAAAGTTTTCATTTATGCTTCCTACTATAAATAGAAACCTGATCCAATTTGGCAGTACTTCTTAGCAGTGCTTGTAAGACTGTGATATGCTCTGAATTTCCAGGAAGGTAACTGACACCTGGAGTTCCCTTCCTTATGTAAAATCATTGCACTGGGTTTCCTGTTCCCATTGAGTATTCCAGCTGGTATGTATTGATAAAGCATCTATTCAATACTAAAGTATTGCCTATGTTCCTTAAAAGTTGCTTTGGTGCTCACTGGACATAAAAGCCTTCTGTTAGACAAGCACTTACATCTTTGGAAGGCTTTCTCAGTACATCCCCCACGCCACCACCATTTCTCAGCCCTTGGTTTAACACAGTAACAATGCACATGAGCAGAGTGTCACAGGTCCTCTCAATTCCATCTTCTTCCTCTTCTTCACCTACAAACACAAGGAAAGGTTTGCAAATCAAAGCACTGACTGACTACTCCCAGCACAGCAACAGTCTGTTTATTAAAAAAGTGACTGCAGCAGTACTTTGATTTTCACTCCACAGCTACAATTTAGCTCAGGTTTGAAGTTACATTATAGTGTTTGATAGTGTACATACTTAATCTGGTAAGAGGTGGTGAGGATCCTGACTGGTTCACCTACAGGTAACCCCTATAACATCAACACTGCAAGCTTTAAGAGTACTCCCACTAGATTCCATGAGGCAGCTTTCTCAATGGGCCCTTAAGTGCACAGCTGATATATAGAGAAGAAGGTATGTATAAGGGAAATTAGAGGTGCATTTGGTGAAGGGCTGTCTCTTGTCTATTCATTCTGTTGCATCCTCATGTGACAGCTAGCATTATGAGTTATTAAAGAGGAGCTGGTTTATATATGAGTCATTATAGCAGGGAACTTTTGGCTGGAGCACAGCAAATGAAAAGCCTCCCACTGACTTCCATAGGTACATGACTGGGCTATAGGAAGCTGGACACTTGGCTTTAATCCCTATACCTATCACAGGACTGTTGTGTGTTGTTAGTCAAGTTACATGCTCTTAGATTGTATCATAAGTGTGTGAGCACGCAGAAGGGCCTTTTGTAACAAATTCCTAGAGGAATTCTGACTTAGGCAGAATCCTTCCCATCACTCCCATATTGCATTAGCAGTATCAGCAGCCTGTTAAAGAGGGCAGTGTGTATTCTCTCCCCATGCCCTGCTGGCTGGCAGGTAAAAGGAGGATCAGGATCATGGCCTACCCTTTTTCTGCTCCTCCTCTTCCCTTTTTCTCTTTAGGGAGGCAACTCATCCAAGCTGTGTGACTGCCTTGCCTTAAGAGTAGTGTTTCTCTCTATTCTACATGATGATTGTAACATGAGATTTTCCGAAATAACACAGTTTTATAAATATAAATTTTCTGCTTTCATGGCTAACTGAAATAGTGTATTTAAGAAACTGCTTTAAAAATATCATATTTGGGGCACTGAGATGCCTTTGATAGACTGAACTGAATGGCTTCCAGAAGCCAAAACCTCAAATTGCAGATAATATTTTATATCAGTGCTGATTTATATAACTCCTACCAGACAGAAAGGTAGTCAGATGGACACTGTGCTGGAAGGGAGGGACTCACATCCCCAAAGGGGTATAAAAGCCTCTTACTGCTTTTTATCTAACTTTATCCAATTTATATTAAACACAGGGTGTAGAAAAGCCACTAGAGGCAAAAACAAAGTCAGGGCTAGAGTTAAAGGCTAGGGACCCTCTCCCCTGCCCACAATATAATTTTTCTGGAACTAACATTTCAGGACTTACCTAGGTTAGGTACATGGATATCATGGTTAGGTACATGGTAGTGTTAGCTACTTGGCTGCCTAGGTAGCTAAAGTGTAGCCCCCTGCGCTTGTTCAGAAGGCTACCCTCTGCCTGAGCAGAGCTACAAAGAATCCATACACTGCAAGAGTGCCAAACATTGCCATTATGCAGCTACAGAAGTGCCACTTAGGTGCATAAAGGCAAAACAAGACTTTGCCCTATATGAATATAGTGCAAAAGGAACAAAACACAGAAAAATCAAACTCCTTTAAAGAGATGCTATCAGTATAACCTCCCTACCCTGCAAACTGTGAGCTGAACATTCTTTCTACAAAAATATGGCACCCTGGTGGTATATCCTGGCTGGAGAACTACAAAGTCACCTCAAAGGCATGTTCTCCACCACCTGGGTGAGCTTTCAGGGAGCCATCTGCTCTGTATGCTCAGAGCACTGTGGGATGCTGGGGAGTCCTACAGACCCCTACACTGCCATATATAACTAAACAGACATAACATAGGGTACTACACAATATACTACTACCAAGTTCCTTTTTGAAAGAGGTACTATTTTGTTGTCCTTTCCCCATCTTCACAGTCCTACAAAAACAACTTGAACAGCTATACGGTCATTTTTTGCAGCATGTCAAGGGCTTATATAGCAGTACAAATGTTAATGCATTACCATGGCTATTCCTTTCCATGTGAAAAGTCTCTTCTATGGTGTATTACATTACAAATTCCTCTATTTTACCTTATCAGTTCTGAGGAGCTTGTATACTAACCCGGATTGGTAATTGGTATTGAAGTAGAACAGTTCTCTTTTGTACATGTTTTCAGCATTGATGTTAGGGTTGTGGTAGGAACTTCTCCTGGGCCTGATAAAATAAAAAGTGATTTATTGACAGAAGGACATTTGCTACAAAGTACATATATTAGGTATAGGAGTTCTACTGAAATACAGTTTAAAATCTTAGATCTTTTGAAGGGAATCACTGAATGAAAAAAAAAATTAAAGGAGAGGAATGAATCAGACCACTTCAGAAATAACGCAGGATCAACAACTCAAGACTATCAGAAGGAAGAAAAACACAGTTTTATATTAACCTTACATCACAACTCTCTACTGCATCTCCCTAAATTAATGAATCTACATCAAATGCTCCTCCTTCTAGAAAAAATATATTCAAAGCAAAAAAACAACTGTCAAATATGAAAATAATGTCAGTTTTCAAACCATGATATAAATTATTCACAAAAGCTGATGAGGACACTGAGCTGATATTCAGTTTTCCTCAATGTAGACTATTTAAGAGTTCTCAAGGATAAAAACACAGTTTGATATTCATTTGTAAATATGTGTGGGTTTGAGTAAAATACTAATTTAACATTCCCAAAGTGGATAAGCACATATATCAGCTTGATTTCATCAGAAACCAATTTTATTGTGCGTGTCATAGTCAATTTACTGCGTTTCAGATAAGGGCTGCTAAAAAATAAGCAGCAAAAATTATGACAAAACCAACAGTTTAAATACTGGTCTGAGGTAAACTAGGAGTTAATCATGGAACACAGACATAGCAAATGGATAGATGTAACAATCATACTGATATCAAACCATACCAATACAAGCTGTTAGTGGTGCAACTTCTACACCCATATGATTATGCAGCAATATAAAGCTAGCAAAACCATACACACAAACTTTAACTTGCATACATTCAGAGTGAAAGTTGGGCAATTTAGCTCATTTGTGTCCCTACAGGATCATGAAGATGGAACATTTAGAGCGTAACAGTTGCTGTGCGCTCATGAGCCCCTTTATGGTGGCTAATGTGTCCGTTTGTCCACATACACATTCTTTGCTTTTTTCTTATCAGGGTAGTTTATTAACCTAACTTTATAAATGCATTTTTTTGTACAGTAAAACCTCATTAATTTGAGATGCAGGAGACCAAAAATACCAACTCTGAAATAAATGGGTTTGACAAACGTGCCAGTAGTGATTTGCATGTATCCAAATGACTATAGGTACATACAGACTTAGTTCATTCACGTGTGGGCCTTGCTAACTGATCAGAACAAAGTGACTAATTAAGCAGGCTTCATGGGCACGTCCACACAAGCATGCATGTGCCTCTTGCCCTTCCTCAAACCCCTTTGAGGCAGGGCAACAGGCATGCGTGGGAACAAAAAAAGAAACAAAAAAATGGATATCCAGGGGTCTAAAAAAAAATCGAAGGTGAGACAACTGGAGGCTGGGTCCTCCATGGAGATGTTCTGGCTGCCAGAGCTTCTCTATGGTTGCCCCCTTCCCCTGCCACTGAAACATGCAGTAGGACAGGCCGCATGTTTCAGTACCAGGGCTCCAGTCCTGGTGAGTAAGGGGTCGGGGGGGCTGGAGGAGGGGGGAGGGGACCATGGAGGAGAACCCCCAATGGCTCCACCCACTCCTCCAGGCCCCCGACCCCTGCTGTGGCTGGCTCCTTCCCACGCCAGCCCCACCAAGGCCCCTGACCCCGGCCGCAGCTGGCCCCTCCCCCCGCCAGCCTCCTGAGGCTCCCAATCCCTGCTGCGGCCAGCCCCTCTCCCCGCCAGTCCTCCCCCCGAGGCC